AGGGTCTGGGGCATTTGCAGGATTTTATCAAAGGTTTAAGGACTTTGTTTTTCTGCAGAATGTTTCTTTTACAAACTTTTCTTGGTAAAAAATGCTTTTAGGTACCAATTCAAAAGATCAATGAAAACAAGCATTTTAGTCTCTGCTGCATGACTGGTGGCTTTCTCCTCTCAGACTCCAGCTGGTTCACGCCCTGGTTTCCGTAGCCTTGTTTTAGATTTAGGCTCAGATTATTGTCAGATTGTTATGGTTTGTTACTTCAGTGCTTCCTGGCGTTCGAGCGCTCCCCAAATACCTTCATGACGGACTCTTCGAAGATCTCCTTTATTGTTGGACTTTTGAGGGGAAAGGCTCTTAGGTGGGCAGAGGCAAAGAGCCAGAACACAGAATTTTTGCCTGTTCTTTATACTGACTTTCTGGAGGATTTTAAACTGACTTTCTGCAGTTCCGAAACCGCCACCGACATCCGGAAGAAGCTCTTGCATCTATCCCAGGGAAGGAGAACGGTGGCAGAGTTATCATTGGAGTTCAGGACTTTAGCGGCCATGACGTCGTGGAGAGGACTATATATATGCTCCCAATTGGTAAAATCATCAGACAGCATGGGATAAACTTCCACTGTTATGCTGACGATACTCAGTTATATTTATCCATTAACCCTGATGAACCTAATTGGTTAGGTAGATTACAGGCTTGTCTTGAGGACATAAAAAATTGGATGACTCTAAACGTTTTGCTTTTAAATCAAGACAAGACGGAAGTTTTCATCTTTGGACCAGAAATCCAGAAAAGGAAATTGCTTAGCCAATCACCTGACCTGAATGGCATTACATTAATCTCCGAGAACAAAGTAAGGAACCTTGGTGTTATCTCTGACCAGGACATGTCATTCAAATCCCACGTTAAACAGGTTTGTGGGATTTCCTTTTTCCACCTTCGGAATGTTGCTAAGATTAGAAGCATCCTTTCCAGGAGTGATGCTGAAAAACTAGTTCATGCATTTATTACATCAAGACTGGATTACTGTAATCCATTACTCTCAGGAAGTCCACAGAATGTAGTTAAAAGTCTTCAGCTTGTCCAAAATGCTGCAGCTAGAGTTCTGATGAGAATTAAAAAGAGAGATCATATCTCTCCTGTCTTAGCTTCCCTACATTGGCTACCTGTTAAGTTCAGAATAGATTTTAAGATCCTCCTTCTCACATATAAAGCTCTTAATAATCAAGCTCCATCATACATCAGTGATCTGATTGTTCCATATGTTCCTAACCGAGCACTTCGCTCTCAGACTGCAGGTCTACTGGTGGTTCCCAGAATATCTAAAAATAGGATGGGAGGCAGATCTTTTAGTTATCAGGCTCCTCTCCTGTGGAACCACCTCCCAGCCTTAGTCCGTGAGGCAGACACTTTGTCTACTTTTAAGAGTAGGCTTAAAACATTTTCATTTGATAGGGCCTATGGTTAAAATCTGATGTTAGCCTAAATCAGGACAAGTGGGGGAGTAGAGGGAGGTGGAGTGTACAGTCGGTAAAGCCGGCTCTCCCTTGCCCTGCCTCCAACATGCCTACATCTAAATAGGATAGGTTATCCAGAGTTATCTCTGTAGTTATGCTGCTATAGGCTTAGACTGCTGGAGGACGCACTGACCACTTTCCACACTCTACTGCTTTATTCTACAGTCTGCTCTTTAACTGTATTATTTCCTGCTATTTCAGCTGTTAACTTTATTTTCTCTCTAAGTGTTTTTCTCCCCAGAAGAAGCTACAACGATGTTCTGCTGAGCTGTGGTGGCCTCATGGAGGGGGCCATCGTCTAGCACACTGCTGCTAACCACTTAAACATTCTCCCTCTCCTGATAATAACTTTTTGCTTTCCTTGACGTTGGATGTGCTACTACTAGTTTACCCGTTTAATTATAGATCCACTAGGATAAATACAATAAAGTTGATCTCACCAAATAGAATATTTACTAAGAAATCACGGTGTAACTTTAGACACATTACTGTGTGTGTGTGTGTGTGTGTGTGTGTGTGTGTGTGTGTGTGTGTGTGTGTGTGTGTGTGTGTGTGTGTGTGTGTGTGTGTGTGTGTGTGTGTGTGTGTGTGTGTGTGCCTGCTCTGTCTTCTCCATCCCCAGTGAGTCGTGGAGGATGGCTGCTTATACTGAGCCAGGATTCTCTGGAGGTTTCTTCCTGTTAAAAGGGAGTTTTCCTCTCCACTGTCGCTGCATGCTTGTTTAGTATGAGGATTGCTGTATAGTCACTGACACTAGTCAGTGACTTGATAAAATTTGCTGGGTTCCTTATATAGGAAACATTATTTCTGATTGGCTTAATGAACTGACCTGTATTGGAATGTTTATTATGTGAAGTGCCTTGAGACGACTCTTGTCGTGATTTGGCGCTTTATAAATAAACTTGAATTGAATTGAAGTATGGGTTACAAGGCATTCATTCCCACAAGAGACCACAACACCTTTAACAGATTTGACCATCAGAACCTTCTGCTGCTCACAGATAAAGATTTCTTTCAAAACAAATGCTAGCTTTGACCCAGTAGCTGGTTTAGTTTTACTTTTACTTAATTCTCCTCCCTCAGTGTCAGTTTGCTGTCAGGAAGCAGGAGACACAAATTAGCGGTTTCCATGGCAACCTTAATGAATTTCTGTCAGCAGAATTTTTACTTGATCTTGGTTCCCTTTTATTTTCATAAATAATTTGTACATACAAATAGGCATTTTGTTGTGGGGATAGTTATTGTTCACCACCACCCCACATGCACTTTCTCACCAAACATCCATCTGAGACAGTTTTCCAGCTGAATGTGAGTTTTCTCTTTTTGAGAATGAAAAGAAATCCCTGAGCACACATTAAGACCTCTGCACACTCAAGGAACAGGCAAGAACACCTGAACAAAAACATGCAGGTACCCTAACCCCTCCTTTCAGAGGCCTTTATTGCTCAGACAAAAATAAAAGATTAAAGTGTTCAGAACATCAGAGTCCTGCTTTTTCTGGATCATTGTAGAGTTTTGAAGGGTTATAAGTTCAAAAACACATAAATCGTTTTTAACTCACATGATTTGATGTGTGATATTTTCCGGTGCTTTGATTTGACTAGATGACATAATTCCAACCAACCCAGTCTTACTGTGAAATCTTGCAGGCCAGAACAAAAACGGTTTGCTTTGTTTAAAAAAAAAAAAGACCTGTGACGAAGTGGTATGAATGATTTCCCATTCGCCCCTGTAATTTATTTCTGTATCCTGCTGGCACTGTGATGGAGGATATTTTAACCAGACTGAAATGTGAATATTGCACTGGTGTGGATGTAGTTACCATTTGGGATTTCATGTTTGCTTTGTATCCAGAGTAGGTTGTGAGGGGAGGGCCCTCCCAGTACTACCTCCCTGGATCATCCTATGATTGGCTGCTTCATTTGGACAAACCAAAGGAAGTGGGATTTGTTTCTTTGATCTTAGTGTGAAAATGTTTCTTGTATTGTAGAAACAGTTTAGTCTTTTGTATATGTTAACACTTAGGTACATTTCTGTGGATGTTTATTTCCTTTTGGGTTTAATGTTGGAGCACTGATGATTGGGGCTGATTGTTTGCAGGTGTGATTTTCTGGGGTATTTAAAGGAAGCCAGGTGAAGGCTTGGGGAGTTTTTTTATTTATTTTTTTATTTATCTGTAAAAGGAAAGCAATGAAGTTAACGCCTGAGAAGCATTTTGGTTCCCAAGGAAAAATGTCCCTGTGCTGCAGTTTGCCTCTACTTCGTTCACCTTGAAGACCTTCTGGGTGCTCTACATTCTCACAAGACCCAAAAACAAGGAACATTAATTCACTTTGTCACAACACATGAAAATATGTGTTCATTTGTTCAACATGACTCCAAAGCGTTATTCATTTTAAAATAGTAAAACTCATTTTATTGTGCTTTCATTGGTGACTTTTTTCCAGATCTTGGTTGTGGGATCACAGTTGCTCAACAATAAACATGAAACACATCATATTTAAGAGAAAATGCACATTTGTTGTTTTAAGGACGTGTTTCACCATCAATGGCGGCTCGTCTATAGGGGGCGCTAGGGTGGCGCCCACCAGTCTCAGAGGAAGAAGAAGATAGGAATCACAAACTATAAAAAAGCTACATGAAAATTAAACTAAACTATTTCTACATCATACAGACTACAAGTGCTCTGTATAATCTGTATTTAAGTGTAGTTTTAAAGTAGTTTTTTGTTATTTACACTTTTAAGACTACAGAATCTTCTTGTGACATATTTCCTGTTACTTTTGGGTGCAGCCATAGACATAGGCCTGACTTTTAGAAACGCATTGATGCGGACTTGGGGGAAGTGCGGAACAAGGGTGCAAAAGGGGTGATCAACTTCCGCACTTGAGAATTGGGACACCCTACACACTCGAACCCCTGGTTGGGATCGCATGATTGAAGGCAGCACATGTGGAAGTGTGAGTATTGAGATTGGGCCACAGATAGACCCCGTGTGACCGCTGGTGCCTGTGGGTGGTAACGACCAGACTGGCCCACCGGGAATTTCCCCAGTTAGGTCCTGTTCCACCCGCCGTCCCCGTTAGACAGGAGCAGCTCATCACGTTAACTCACACCAGAGCTGGCTCCGTAGGTGCTTATAAGTGCGACTATATATTCTACAAAGTTTTCATAAATAAGCACACAACTTAGATCTGTAGCTCGGGTTCAAGACGGTTCACTCCAACCGTGCACTGGCAATCCTACAAACAAGCATATTATGTTTACTATATAATAGTGTTTATAGTACACACCTGACATCAGTGGCCCCCTGATGCTGTAAAAACTCTGGGACACCCAGACATGATCCTTACGACGGTGATTATAATAAATGAATTAGTGAGAAATGACATCAAGACGAGGTATATGGGGAAAAGTATTGCCCTCTACCTTGTGACTGATAACAGGATATGTACGTGTATGGATGCTGATGGCTTTATGATACACTTACTCTCTGAAGGAGAACCAGGAAGCTGAAGAATAAACTCCATCTCGGAGTCTGACACGGCCCAGCTCTGATCAGAATAAATCAGCTGCAGGAAGCCTCACTCTTCTTCCTCACGTCTTTTGTGGGAAAGCTACAAAACAAAAACATGAGATTTGCAGATTAGCGTCTACACAACATTGTACAAAAGAGGTCAATGCTCTTTTCTTCATTCTCGTGTTATTCCTGCTCTTCTGTTTATTTCTTCCTTAAATATTCTTAGATTCTTTCTTTTACCTAAAACTGCATTTATAATTATAATGAACCAAAACTCTTCAAAGGGTGAAACGAGAAAACGTCTCTTCAGCATTAGCCTTGTTAGCTAACTCCCCGGTCAGAGAGGAGGGTGAGAGACATGAGATATATCTCATACCGGGAAGATTAGTTTGGTTTCTACAGCAGAATTCTTGTTTCAGCTGTAATATAAGTCAGTGTTTAGGAATAAATGATTAATAAAGTCTCATTTAGCTTCACTGTCAGGGAGACAGCAGGAGTAAACAACATGTAGCTAACGTTAGCTGGCTAGCAGGAGCTGCTGCTGGTGGACACAAATACAGTACAGCCAAGTTATATTTACTAAGTGCAAACAACAAAAATGCTCAACCCTACTTGTTAAAAGTTATCCCCCGAGCTTTGGTCTCAATGGTTTGCTGAATAGAGCAAAAGTAATCTGCACAGAGCTCAGGCATCTTGTTCACTGCTGCTATGGTTCGTGTCTGCCGGAAGCTCGACCGATCTAAGATGGCGACCACATTTCCTGCACCCAAGCAGCCAAAAGGGGGTCTATCAATATATATGTCTGTGGGAGCAGCAATCTCCACCATATACCTACGCTAACTGGCACATGCGTGCTGGATCCCTCCCCTCCAATACACAGAATAGGAGAGCCTTTGGGCTCAGAGATACAGCGTCCGTGAAGACACACGCAGAATACCAACAGGGCAGAGTCTCAGCTCAGGTAAGGGCAGAACCAGACTTTTCCCCATAGTTCACCATCTTGTGTTGTTGTAGAGTAGCTGAGTACGCCTTGTGGAGATTTTTAATATGAAGAACCAGAAAATGATGAAATGTGGATGTTAGAACACTCTCCTTCATGTAAAAACGTGGATTTTTATTCACTATAACACAGATTTTTATAACCTTAAATCTACTAAAGTAAGACTGAGTTAATGCTTTTAACTCCATGAAATTAGCTTTGCTTGTTGTTTTACAAAAAAACGCAGGTTTGTCGGTGCCAGTCGTTGTGGAAATCCAAAAAACCCGCTGGTGGACATTGACGGTTAAGGATGCCGTCAAGCTGAAAAAAAGAGTCCTATAGAGCCTTTTTGGCCTGTGGGACACCAGAGGCAGCTAATGGGCGATGGCAGGCCAAGCGGAATGCAGCCCGAGTGGTCATAGAGGCAAAATCCTGTACATGGGAGCAGTTCGGTGAGACCATGGAACAAGACTTCCGTACGGCTTTGAGTTGATTCTGGTCCACTGTTCTGCGCCTCAGAAGGGGAAAGCAGTGCGCTACCGACACTGTTTATAGTGGAGACGGTGTGCTGCTGACCTGTACTCGGGACATTGTGGATCGGTGGGCAGAATACTTCGAAGACCTCTTAATCCCATCGGCACGCCTTCTAGTGAGGAAGCAGAGTCCGGGGACTTTGGGTTGGGCTCTCCAATCTCTGGTGCTGGGGTCAATGAGGTTGTCAAATAGCTCCTCAGTGGCAAGGCCCCAGGGTGGATGAGATCTGCCCAGAGCTCCTTCAGGCTCTGGATGTTGTAGGGCTTTGTTGGCTGACACGGCTCTGAAATATCGCGTGGACATCGGGGGCAGTTCCACTGGATTGGCAGACCGGAGTGTGTTCCAACTACAGGGGGATCAAGTGACATAAGGTGCGCACTACCGCGCTGCCGAACAAATCAAAGGCTAAGAGCAGTTTATTACAGAGCCATGGTTGCATGGAATGCCATACCGAGAATTTTGTTATTAGAGAATAACAGAAGATGTTTTCAAAAGATGTTAAAGCTTTTTTTGTTTACACGACAGTAAATTTTGCACAATGAATTGTAAATGTGACTGATATGACAGCTTCTATAGTTTTTGTTTGTTATGGAAGTGATGTGATATGATTTTTGATTCTTGGATATATTTATTTATTGCTCTGTGTAAACCCTCCGTATTTACTTATTTAGATTTTTCATGAACGCTGAAGTGTGTTATAACTTACCGGTATATCATTATGGCAAATGAGCTGGTACGATTATAATGAGTTCCTGGGGTTTGTTGTTGTTGGGTGTGTGTGTGTGTGGGGGGGGGGGGGGGGGGGTAAAATAGTTGGAATGAAATTGGAAGAGACCTCTGGAAGAATAGCTCCACACTATGGTGGGAGCTAATGAGGTTCTCAATAAATAAATAAATAAATAAATAAAAGTATGACCAGTGCCAGAGCTTGGTCTGCATTGCCGGCAGTAAGTCGGGCTCATTCCCGGTGAGAGTTGAACTCCGCCAAGGCTGCCCTTTGTCACCGATTCTGTTCATAACTATTTTGGAAAGAATTTCTAGGTGCAGCCAAGGTATTGGGAGGATCCATTTTGGTGGCCTGAGGATCGGGTCTGCTTTCTGAAGATGATGTGGTCCTGTTGGCATCATCAGATCGTGATCTCCGGCCTTCACTGGAGTGGTTCACAGCCAACTGTGAAGCGGCTGGGATGAGAATCAGCTCCTCTAAATCCAAGACAATGGTTTTGAATGGGATGATAATAAATCGCGCATGCGGGAAGTCCCCGCTGGCTGATTCCTTCCACCATTCTGAGGCCCCCCCTAATGGTAGGCATGAGTTTGAGCCGGCCAATCAGTCGGCAGTTGGTGTGTTGGACCAGTTCAGCCTGATGCAGACCGCCTTGGGAAGATGGCTGAAAAAACAACTAGTTGCGCGTGGAAAAATCCCAGGCTAGCCCGATGGGAACACTTCCTACCCCATCTAGGCAGAGTGGAGCCAGCCCTAATGTTGAAGCCCTACATGCTCCTCAGCTGGCCTTGGTATTCCCCCAAGAGGAGGTGGCAGATGTGGCTGGGGTAAGGAAAATCTGAGCCTCCCTGCTTAGGCTGCTGCCCCAGCAACCCTGACCTCAGATAAGTGGACTGTAATGGATGGATGAATTTATGTGTTTTAAATGTCATTCTAAATATTGAAGTTATTAATATTATTTGGATCAATTAGAAAATGGTTTTGGTTCAGATCCTCAAAACTCCTTGAACTCTTTTAAAATTTTTATACCCTTTTGTTTTTCTTTTGTAGAAGAGCAAACATCCATCATCATCTCAGAGGAAACCCTTTGAGCAAGTGTTGCTGGTTGTCCTCACACACCCTCACACACTTCATGTGATTTTTATGTACAGACAGTGAAATGTCCTTCTCGTTAATGTGTAATCCACTCGCAACTCGAGGAACCAGTTTTCGTTCTGGGCCCAACAAAGCTGCTATTTATTCCCCAGATGGAGAAGCTGTCCTCAAAAAACCCTGAAGCAGTGAGATGATCCAAATAGAGAGATCTATATTTGGTCAGAGAGGAAGACTGCTAAAAACCGGCCTGTTTTCAGTTCGATCCAACCTGACTGAGCAGCTCTGCTTCTACAGAAATTCACAGTTAATTATTTGTTTGCGATAATAAAAAAAAGCACGATTTAACATCTACTGCCTTTGGTTGTTTATCTGACCTGATTTAGTCCTTGACATTTTTTAACTGATCTTTTATTTATTCTCTGTTTACGTTTACTTTGTTCTTTTATCCGTTCCTCTGACCTTGACATGGGAGGGTTATTATTCTGTTTTTTTTTTTTTTACCTGGATGACCTGGTGAACCTGGTGGATCTGGAAGACCTGGTAGACCTGGTGGACCACTTTGTGGAATAATGTGGCAACAATGATCTCATCTTGAACATGAACACAACAAAGGAGATGATTGTGGATTTTAGATTAAAAAGGCAAGGTTCAAGGTTTACGAGGGCTGGGACTCTACCAGAGAGGCGTAATCATCCGGCAACCAGAAGCATCCTCCGTCCTCCTTATGAAGGCGGCCCGCTAATCAGCTGATGGGTCGCAGCTGCTGCTCTCTCTCTCTCCTGAAACCAGAGAAGCTCAAAACACAGGTGAGACAATGATGTGTGGAGAGTGCTCACCTCCCGGCTCACAACAGTCTCAGGAGGATCCCGCCCTGATGATGTATAAGCGAGTGAAATGGCGTCACACAGCCAGTGTGAGAGACACTGGGTCGACAGCGCTTGCCCAAGGGAAGAGTCTCTGTAGTGCACAAACAGGCTTTGTGAGCGGCGGATCCCTGAAGTGCGTGACACATATCGTGCGAGCACGCGCACCGGGCAGAGAAGGCGGGAAGCCGCCTCCTCATCAGAATTATGGGGGGGAGGAAAAAGTCCAGCCAATGAAACTGACCTGGATTTGAAGGAAGCATTAATGTTTTGGGCCTAAAGGCTGGGTTGGGGCATAAAACAGCAGACCCGCCATCCTCCTGGAGCCTGAGGCATGCGGGAGCCACTGAGAGGGCGGTTAGGTCACTCACTCTCTTGACTGATGCCAGCGCCAGCAGCAAGGCCGTTTTGAGAGACAGGAACTTGAGTGAGACCTGGTCCAAGGGTTCAAATGGGGCTTCAGATAAGCCGCGCAGAACCACCGTTAGGTCTCACTGGGGAAATAGCGGGTGGGACAAGGTCTGTTCCTTCTGACACCTTTTAGAAAACATTTTGTGAGGGGATGATTGAAAACAGATCTATCTCCAAAACCTTGGTTACAGGATGAGATAGCTGCAGCATAAGTCTTAACAGTGCTGAATGCGAGGTCCCTGTCCATCAGCATCTGCAGAAACGATAGGACATCCGCCAGCTGGCAGGAAAGCACTTGAACATTCCGCACTGTGCACCATTTCTGGAAAGCTGCCCATTTAGCAGCATAAGAGGCAATGGTAGAGGGCGCCCACGCACTCTGAATCGTGGCCACCACATCATGCGGCAGCCCAGAAGCCTCTAAGCGTGACCGCTCAGCGGCCAGACCCACAGCCGTTGGCCTATTTCTGGAGGATGTTTGATTATCCCATCCGCCTGGAGAAGGACGTCCTCCCTCCACGGGAGCATCCACGGAGAGCCGTACACCAGCGCTTGCAGGTCCGGAAACCATGACGCGGACAAGCGTCTGGGAGCTACCAGAATTACCGAGAGCTGTTCCGACCAAACTCGATCCAGGAGTCGGGGAATCAGTGGGACTGGCGGAAACGCATACAGGAGCGTCTGAGGCTAGGGCTGTGTGAGAAGGCGTCCACTCCGAGTGGGGGGTGGTCCCGGGGACTCAGGGAAAACCACAGACGACACTGAGCGTTCTCGCGAGCCGCGAACAGATCCACAGAGGGTTCCCCGAACTTGATCCAGATCTGTGATCAGTGCGGGATGCAGACGCCAGTCGGAGTCGCGGGGTCCCCCTCTCGACAGGATGTCTGCTGCTACATTCAGGACACCCAGAATGTAGGTGGCTTTGATGGACAGAGGGTGGACATGTGCCCAGCACAGTAAAACTGTGGCTACGCGCAAAAGTGGGAGGGAATGAACTCCCCTTGGGCGATTTTTGTAGGCTGCCACCACCTGGTTGTCTGTGTGAACTTCGTAATGACGGCCATCGAGAAGGGCAGCGAAGTGACTGATCACATTCCTCACTGTCATAAGCTCCAACACATTTATGTGCTTGTGCGTGTGGGAGGGCCAGGGATCTGCCACCGTATGGGACAAGCACGTGCCCCCCATCCCAACAGTGACGCATCCGTAAACACAGATACGTGTGACGTAGGACGTCCGATGGGGACCCTGTGAGAGAGGATGCAGGGATTCCCCCAGTGAGCGAGGTCCCCGCCCACTGAAGGGGGAACCCTCAACAGACGTCTCTTCTGACGTATCGGGTGTACCCGGAGGCGGATGAACCAACGCTGCAGGCATCTCGTGTGCAGTAAACC